ATGAATCACTTGAGGTCAGGAGTTTGAGACCAGACTGGCCAACATGGTGAAACCTTGTCTTTACTAAAAAAATATAAAAATTAGCTGGGCATGGTGGTGTGTGTATATAGTCTCAGCTACTCAGGAGGCTGAAGCAGGATAGTTGCTTGAACCTGGGAGGCAAAAGTTGTGGTGAGCCGAGATTGCACCACTGGACTCTAGCCTGGGCAACAGAGCGAGACTCCATCTCAAAAAAAAAAAAAAAAGAAGTTCAAAATCACTCCCTCCATGATTCATGAACTGCATAGTGGATGTTGTGTTAGAAGGCATAAAGACAACATTAATCTCCATCAGAGTATTTGGGCACCAGGTACGTTGTCAATGAGCAGCTATGTTTTTAAAGGAATCTTTTTTTCTGAGCATTGGATCTCAATAGTGGGCATTAAACATTTAGTAAACAATGCCATGCCATCTAGGCTTTGTTATCCCATTTCTAGAGCACAGATAGAGTAGATTTAGCATAAAGGATCCTAGGATTTTCATGATGGTAAATGAGCGTTAGCTTCAACTTAAAGTCACTAGCTGCATTAGGCCCCAACAAGAGAGTCAGCCCTGTCCTTATACGCTTTGAAGCCAGGTGTTTACTTCTTTCTAGCTATGAAAGGCCTAGATGGCATCTTCTTCCAACATAAGACTGTTTTATCTACATTGAAAATCTGTTGTTTAGCCAGCCACTTTTGTCAATGATCTTTTCTAGATCTTCTGGATAACTTGCTGCAGCTTCTATGTCAGCACTTGCTCCTTTACCTTGTGCTTTTATGTTACAGAGATGGTTTCTTCCTTTAAACTTCATGAACCAACCTCTGCTAGCTTCAGACTTCTGCGGCTTCCTCACTTCTCTCAGCCTTTATAGAATTTAAGAGTTAGGGCCTTGCTCTGGATTAGGCTTTGGCTTAAGGGAATGTTGTGGCTGGTATGATCTTATACAGAGTTCACTAAAAGTTTCTCCTTATCAGCAATAAGGCTACTTTGCTTTCTTATCATTCCTACATTCACTGGAGTAGCACTTTTAATTTCCTTCAAGAACTTTTCCTTTGCATGCACAACTTGGCTAACTGGCACTCAAGGCCTGGCTTTTGGCCTGTCTTGGCTTTCAACTTGCTTTCCTCACTAAGCTTAGTAGTTTCTAGCTTTTGATTTAAAGTGAGAGATTTACCACTCTTCTTTCACTTGAACAGACAGAGGGTTTTTAATTGGCCTAATTTCGACACTGTGTGTCTCAGGGAATAGGAGGCCTGAAGAGAGGGAGAGATGATCGGGAAACGGCTGGTTGGTGGAGAAATCAGAACACATACAACACGCATTCATTAAGCTCACCATCATATACGGGCTCAGTTTGTGACACCCCAAAACAATTACAATAGTAAAGTCATTGATCACAGATCACTAGATTAGATTTATAATAATGAAAAACTTTGGAATATTGTGAGAATTACCAAATTGTGATACAGGGACATGAAGTGAGCACATGCTGTTGGAAAAATGACACTGATAGATTTGCTTGACTCAGCATTGCCACAAACCTTCAATTTGTAAAAATGCAGTAACTGCCAAGTGCAGTAAAGCAAAGTATAACAAAATGATGTATGCTTGTAGTGTAAAAATGGACAGCTCCCCAGGTGTGTCCCCATCTACCACCCTCCCCAAAGGTAATCACTGTCTCTGGCTTAGTATGGAAGTCTCTTGAGCATTTTTCTATATATTAACACAGAAAGTAAAATAATGAAATAGCATTTATTGTGTTTCTATATGGCCCATTGTCTCATTTCAAGTATCAATTTGCACTAATTTGAAATGTCATCTTTATTATATGCTCAATTCTGAGCTCTTTTCCTAGACTCCATTCTCCTCCATTGATCTGTTTGCACATTCCTGTACCAAAATAATAGTTTTAAGTTAACTTTTTATAGTGTGCAATATCTGGTATGCATCTGTTCTCATATTTTCAAATGTTCTTAAATATTTTGTGGTATTTAAATATAAATTTATATTTATTAAATATTTTGTGGTGTTTATATTTATATAAATTTCTATATAATTAAATTTAAATTTAGATAAATATAAATTTATATTTATAATTAAATTTAAATTTAAATAAATATAAATTTATATTTTAGTATAAATACCACAAAATATTTTAAGATTTTTGGATATTTGTATACTCTTTCAAGATGATTTTTTTCCTCTCTCTTTTTTTTTTTTTTTTTTGAAACTGAGCCTCCCACTGTCGCCCAGGCTGGAGTGTAGTGGCACAATCTCAGCTCACTGCAACCCCTGCCTCTCGAGTTTAAGCGATTCTCATGCCTCAGCCTCCTGCAAGCTGGGATTATAGGTGCCCACCTCCATGCCCAGGTAATTTTCATATTTTTGGTAGAGACAAGGTTTCACCATGTTGTCCAGGCTAGTCTCAAACTCCTGACCTTGGGTGATCTGCCCACCTCGGCCTCTGAAAGTGTTGGGATTATAGGCGTGAGCCATACCGCACCCAGCCCCGCCATATGAACTTTAGAATCAGTTTGTGCATTGCTACTCCACTGGCCAGATAATTGGCAGAAGGTATTTATTGGAATTCCTGTGCATTTATACATTATTTTGGATATTTCTCCATGTCTTTTATAGCTTTGAAAAAGATTTTGTAAAATTTTTCATTAAATTTATTATTTGATATCTTATAGTTTTATTCCCTTTATATTAGGATGTCTTAAAAGTTGTATTTCTTTCTTTCTTTCTTTCTTTCTTTCTTTCTTTCTTTCTTTCTTTCTTTCTTTCTTTCTTTCTTTTTTTAGATGGAGTCTGACTTTGTTGCCCAGGTAGCTAGAGTGCAGTGGCATGATCTCAGCTCACTGCAACCTCTGCCTCCTGGGTTCAAGTGATTCTCCTGCCTCAGCCTCCTGAGCAGCTGGGATTACAGGCACTCCCTCCTGAGCCCGGATAATTTTTATATTTTTACTTTAATTTTATTTATTTATTTATTTATTTATTTTTTTGAGATGGAGTTTCACTCTTGTTACCCAGGCTGGAGTGCAATGGCGCGATCTCGGCTCATCGCAACCTCCGCCTCCTGGGTTCAGGCAATTCTCCTGCCTCAGCCTCCTGAGTAGCTGGGATTACAGGCACGCGCCACCATGCCCAGCTAATTTTTTGTAGTTTTTTAGTAGAGACGGGGTTTCACCGTGTTGACCAGGATGGTCTCGATCTCTTGACCTCGTGATCCACCCGCCTCGGCCTCCCAAAGTGCTGGGATTACAGGCTTGAGCCACCGCGCCCGGCCTATTTATTTATTTTTTTGAGACAGAGTCTTACTCTGTCACCTAGGCTGAAGTGCAGTAGCATGATCTTGGCTCACTGCAACCTCTGCCTCCTGGGCTCAAGTGATTCTAATGCCTCACCCTCCCAAGTAGCTGGGATTACAGGTGTCCACCACGCCTGGCTAATTTTTGTATTTTTAGTAGAGACAGTGTTTCACCATGTTGGTTAGGCTGGTCTCATACTCCTGATCTCAAGTGATCCACCTACCTCACCTTGAAAAGTTGTATTTCTAATTGATTCTCGGTATGGTATGAAAATTTCTTGGTATAGAAAATAAACTGGTTTTTGTTGATCATCCTACACCCTCTGTGAGAGTCTGATATTCATTGTTTCCTAGACTGCTTTGGGTTTTTTGTTGTCGTTGTTGTTGTTTGTTTGTTTTTCTTTTGAAACAGGGTCTCACTTTGTCACCCAGGCTGGAGTGTGGTGATGCTATCTTGGCTCACTGCAGCCTCGACCTCCCAGGTTCAAGTGATCCTTCTGCCTCAGCCCTCCAAGTAGCTGGCATGCTACTTGTAACTACAGGCATGTGCCGCCACATCCAGCTAATTTTTGTATTTTTTGTAAAGACAGGGCTTCGCCACATTGCCCAGGCTGGTCTTGGTCTTCCAAGCTCAAGTGAGCTGCCTGCTTTAGCCCCATAAAGTGCTAGGATCACAGCTTTGGATTTTCTAAGTAGGTAATCACATTATTTGCAAATAATGAACTCTGCTCCTTCATCAAAATGTAAACATCTCTTTATTTTTTTTTTCTTAAATTATGTTGGCTAGAACCACAACAAGGATGTCAAATAGTAGGTAATGACGGGCATATTCCTGATCACGAATGAGAAGATCCCTGAAATGATACTGGGTGAAATGCCCTTCTTGAACACTGTCTTCTCTTGGTATCCTGGAATAGTGCCCACTCCTTCTTTGTCTCTTTTGCTACCCCTTTTTCCCTTATCTTGAGGTGTCTGACATACCTCAAGCTCCCTACCCTGACTTCCCATGCAGCACACACTCGGTGGTCCATGAGTGTTTCAGATTGTAATTCGTCTCATGCCTCATGTGATTTGTGATTTGGTTACCTCCCATAAGCCAAGCGTTCGCAGATTGACATCCCTAATCCAGGATTTCTCCCAGCACCATCTCACTGAAAAGCTCCTCTTGGATTTCTTTCAGGTACTGCTAACTCAGTACTTCTAAAACTAAGTTCATCATCAATAAGCATAGAGCTGAACCCCTGGATATAAAGCCCACACCCTGATTCACAAAGAACCAGAAATAGGCCAGGCACTGCAGCTCACACCTGTAATACCAGCACTTTGGAGGCCAGGGTGGGGGGATTACTTGAGCCCAGGAGTCTGAGACCAGCCTGGGCAACATGGGGAGACTCCATCTCTACAAAAAATAAAACAAAATAGCCAGGTATAATAGTGCACCCTGTAGTCCCAGCTACCCAGGAGGCTGAGATGGGAGGATCACTTGAGCTTGGGAGGTTGAAGCTGCAGAGAGCCGTGATTGTGACAGTGCACCCCAGCCTGGGCAACACAACAAGACCCTCTCTCAAAAAAGAACTAGAAATAGAAGAAAGCCTTTCTTCCCTGAGAGACCCTTTCTGAGAGTCTCATTTCCTGTTAATGCTGGCCTGAGCCAGCCACTTCACCTTAGTTTTATCTCAGTTTGTGCCTTGGATGTTGGCCACACAGCTTGCCTGGCTCAAGAGCTCCTGCCATCCTTGGACACTTGCCCCAAGAACCACATCCTTCCCTGCCAGCACCCTCTGCTGGCTCTCTTGCTGTCCCTAAGCATGCATGTGGTCAGTTCGCCTAACTTTCTGGTCATCACCCTCCTCCCTGCCTCTGGGGGTGGGGTGGAGACTTCCTCTACAGCCTTGTGGAAGACAAATGGAGGCTTTAGGAATTCCTCTGGGGCTTACTTCCTCCGGATGCAGGGTAATGAGGCTAATCTCTGCCCGTCTCTGTATGGGCAGGAAATATGAGCTGTACAGCATGGACTGGGACCTGAAGGAAGAACTCAGAGATTGCCTGGTGGCTGCTGCACCCTATGGGGGCCCCATTGGTATGTTGCTTCTCCACCACCACCTGCTCTGGGACCCTGGAATGAACGTAAGGTCCTTGATTCCTGGGGGCTTGCTGTCAGGTTGTTCTTGTTGCCACCCCCCACTCACCCTGCTGAGATGCTTTTACTTCTGGTTTTTATAGGCCTGCTTCACATGGGGTGGGCCTGGGGAGCCAGGACATGAGGCCTGCTTTACACGTGGTGGGTTTGGGGAGTCAGGACCTGAGGCCTGCTTCACATGGTGTAGGCATGGGGAGCTAGGACAGAAGGTCTTTTCTCAAATTGCAGCACTGCTGAGGAACCCCTGGCGGAAGGAGAAAGCTGCCAGTGTAAGGCCAGTGCTCGATATATACTCTGCTTCCGGCATGCCTCTGGCCAGCCTGCTGGTGAGCATTTCTGACGGTCCCTGTGGCTGGAGGCTGGACAGGGTTTCTTCACCTGAGGACAGCCTCAGGAACCTCTCTCTCCCCTGCAGTGGAAGAGTGGACCCGTGGTGTCCCTGGGCTGGTCTGCTGAGGAGGAGCTGCTCTGTGTGCAGGAAGATGGTGCTGTACTGGTTTATGGGCTTCATGGTGACTTCCGGAGACACTTCAGCATGGGCAATGTAGGGGTCACAGAGAGCTGGGAAAGTGGGGTAGAGTGTATGACCCTGTGGCTCCCTCAACCCATGACCCCTCTCCTCAGGAAGTACTCCAGAACCGGGTTCTGGATGCCCGGATCTTTCACACTGAATTTGGTTCTGGAGTGGCCATCCTCACAGGGGCCCACCGCTTCACCCTCAGTGCCAATGTGGGTGACCTCAAACTCCGCCGGATGCCAGAGGTGCCAGGTAAGCCCTGACACCGCTGAGATGGCCATTCAGTACCCACAGATGTGCCTCCAGCCTCTGAGACCCATAGCAGGAGAAACCATGAGCCCTGGTAATCCTAACACTGTCCTTTTCCCTTGCCATAGGTCTGCAAAGTGTACCTTCCTGCTGGACTGTGCTATGCCAGGACCGAGTGGCACACATTCTTCTCGCCGTGGGGCCTGATCTATACCTCCTGGACCATGCAGCCTGCTCTGCAGTGGTGAGGGCCCTGAGTGGGAATGAAGTAGAGGGGCTGGGGAAAGCAGTGGGAAGGCTCTGAAAAGTCAGTATATATCTGCCCTACCCCTACCCTGGCTCTGCCTCAGACACCCCCTGGCCTGGCCCCAGGAGTAAGCAGCTTCCTGCAGATGGCTGTCTCCTTCACCTACCGACACCTGGCACTCTTCACAGACACAGGCTACATCTGGATGGGGACGGCATCACTCAAGGTGTGATCCTGAGACAACACAGGGATACTGTGCCTTGTCTAGGGTACAAGATCTTTTGGGGATGTGGGGGAGCTTTTCAACTAGAATGGTGACTGCTGGGACAGGGCCATAACATTGCCCACACCATTTCAGGAGAAGCTGTGTGAGTTCAACTGCAACATCCGGGCAGCTCCAAAGCAGATGGTCTGGTGAGGATGGGGGCGTTATTGCTGTGGGTGTGGTGAGACATAGCTTGCTTCCTGGGACAATCAGTTCCTTGACTCATAATGTCTACTGGCCAAGCCTAGTGGAGCTTGGATCTTACCTTCTTTGCCAGTGCACACTTGAAGGAAGCCATTGTCCTCTGTGGGCCACAGCTGCCTCAAGCTGGGGGCGCAGGGATAAGAGGGAAGTGGATAAGTCAGCATATAGTCAGGGATGCAAGTGTCTACAGGCTGTCCTGAGACAAAGGGATGTGAGCAGCGATGTGGGAGATGTGGCTGTGGGCTGGTGTCTAGCTGGGTATGTGTGCTGCTCTCACAGGTGCAGCCGTCCTCGTAGCAAGGAGAGGGCTGTAGTGGTGGCCTGGGAGAGGCGGCTGATGGTGGTGGGCGATGCACCCGAGAGCATCCAGTATCCTTGGAGGGCTGCCTGTGTGTGGAGGGAGAGGAAGGGAGGGTTCACCTGCCCCACCCCATATGTGGGTGCTCTTAGGAACCTTAACCAAGCTCAGGTTTGTGCTGGACGAGGACTCCTACCTGGTGCCTGAGCTCGATGGTGTCCGCATCTTCTCCCGCAGCACCCACGAGTTCCTGCATGAGGTTCCAGGTGAGGCCTTCACAAGGGCACCACATAACCCAAGGCATGGGCCCCTCGGCACCGCAGCTGCCCTGGGCCAGTGCTGCAGAGCAGGAATGGGGTGTTGAGGTAGGGCTGAGAGTTTCCTTGCCTTTCTCGCTCACTCACCAATTCCTTCCCACAGCAGCCAGTGAGGAGATCTTCAAAATTGCCTCAATGGCCCCCGGGGCACTGCTCCTGGAGGCTCAGAAGGAGTATGAGGTAAAGCCCTGAGCTTCTCCCTGGGTCCCAGGATGTGTTCCTCCTGCCCCTGCCCCGGCATGTGTGGGCATAGCCAGGTGCCACCTGTCAAGAGAGAGGTCCAGGAAGGATACTGGTCTAGGCTGGGGAGGGCTGGCTCAGGTAGACAGAAGGGACACTGTGTTCTCCATGTGGTGTGATAGGGATGGGCAGGGCATCTCCACTATCCCCACCCAGTCAGGCACAGGTCTGGGTTAGTTACTATTGGGAGTTCTCAAGGCCCCCCAAAGGCAGTTGTGGGCTGATATGGGATGATGTCTGTGGGCACCTTAGGTGGATTGAGTGGGCTGTGGGAGTTGGGCCTCCAGCCTGTGCAGCTTATTTGAACCACAGCCCAGAATGGTTAGGGGCCAGATACGAGAGTGTTCTCTGTCATGACGCTCTGGCTCTGGACTCCTCCCCACCAGAAAGAGAGCCAGAAGGCAGATGAGTACCTGAGGGAGATCCAGGAGCTGGGCCAGCTGACCCAGGCCGTGCAGCAGTGCATTGAGGCTGCAGGACATGAGCACCAGCCAGACATGCAGAAGAGTCTGCTCAGGGTTGGCCTGGATGGCGGGTTGGGGAGGGTGGGGCTGGGAGGAGGTGGAATGGGCATCAGGGAAGCTCTCTCCTATTACCCTCTGGCTCTTCTCAGGCTGCCTCCTTCGGAAAGTGCTTCCTGGACAGATTTCCACCCGACAGCTTCGTGCGCATGTGTCAAGACCTGCGTGTGCTCAATGCCATTCGGGACTATCACATTGGGATCCCACTCACCTATAGCCAGTATCCCTGTGCACTCCGGAAGGGTGCTTACAGCCAGGGGTGGCAGGGGAAGGGGCTGGAGATGCAGTCTGCAGGTACTTGGCAGGCAGGGCTTATTCCTCAGCTGAATCCTTAACCAAGAAAAATACAGATACAAGCAGCTCACCATCCAGGTGCTGCTGGACAGGTAGGGTAAGCCCAAGGGTGCAGTGAGAGGGCTGTCGGGGGTAGGAATTACAGCCTTTGCTGGGGTCTTATGGTCACTGCTTCTGACCCATCTCTCTAGGATGTGGGAGGCCTGATGTGCAGGCTGAGACCACTCTGCCCCCTCTTTCTCCTCCACCTCACTCCTTGTATCCTTTACCCACCGGGTCTACCAGGCTTGTGTTGCGGAGACTTTACCCCCTGGCCATCCAGATATGCGAGTACTTGCGCCTTCCTGAAGTACAGGGCGTCAGCAGGATCCTGGCCCATTGGGCCTGCTACAAGGCAAGGATGTGGGATGGTGTCCAAGGGCACTTAAGGGATTCCAGGTCCTGGTGAGTTGGAGGAAATAGAAAGTGTAGAACTGGGCCAGGCATGGTGACTCAGCCTATAGTCCCAGCACTTTGGGAGGCCGAGATGGGCGGATCACCTGAGGTTGGGAGTTTGAATTGAGCCTGGCCAACATGGTGACACCTTGTCTCTACTAAAAATACAAAAATTAGCCAGGCATTGTGGTGCATGCCTGTAATCCCAGCTACTCAGGAGGCTGAGGCGTGAGAATCGCTTGAACCTGGGAGGCGGAGGTTGCACTGAGCCGAAATCACACCACTGTACTCCAGCCTGGGCAACAGAGTAAGACTCTGTCTCAAAAGAAGAAAAAGTGTCTAACTGAAGGGGTGGGTCCTAAGGGCTTGCAGGAGTGGAGAGTGAGGAATGGCATCCAGATTTGTGTGACACCCCACATCCCTTGCAGGTACAACAGAAGGATGTCTCAGATGAAGATGTGGCTCGAGCCATTAACCAGAAGCTGGGGGACACGCCTGGTGTCTCTTACTCCGACATTGCTGCACGAGCCTATGGCTGTGGCCGCACGGAGCTGGCCATCAAGGTGTGGGTGCCCAGCCTTCCACAGATACTCTGATGTGGGTGTTCAGGGTCCCCATACCAGCTCCTCCTCTCTGTGTCTTCCTTCTCACCTCACAGCTGCTGGAGTATGAGCCACGCTCAGGGGAGCAGGTACCCCTTCTCCTAAAGATGAAGAGGAGCAAACTGGCACTAAGCAAGGCCATCGAGAGCGGGGACACTGACCTGGGTGAGGGCAAGGCTGGGGGGCTCCTAGGGTGAGTGGGAGCCTGGCTGGAGTTCCACTCCACCTTATTCTCCTACAGTGTTCACGGTGTTGCTGCACCTGAAGAATGAGCTGAACCGAGGAGATTTTTTCATGACTCTTCGGAATCAGCCCATGGCCCTGAGTTTGTACCGACAGGTGTGTGTAGTGGGCAGGGTTGGGGTGGAGCCTCCTGAGCACTTGAGTTGGCCTTGCTGACTGATCGCCTGCCTATGGCCCCAGTTCTGTAAGCATCAGGAGCTAGAGACGCTGAAGGACCTTTACAATCAGGATGACAATCACCAGGAATTGGGCAGCTTCCACATCCGAGCCAGCTATGCTGCAGAAGAGGTCTGAGGCCCATGGGGCATGTGGGACCTGTGGGCTGGGGCTGTTGGTCTGGTTCCTTCAGGAATCTAGGCCTTCATGCTGGGTGTACACCCCATCTAGTCCTCACTCTGAGGGAGAGTCTGACATGAGGCCAGGATGGGAGTGGGTGTCAGAGGAGCTAGCTGTTTCTCTAGGACATCGGAGTGGTGCCCCTAGCAGGGAAGGGTGACCCTGGGTACAGGAATTGAGGATAAGACTGTAGCCTGGGTGGGGAGGGCCAGGGTCCTGCATGCTATGAGTTCAGGCCTGCCTTCTTGTCTTTGTAGCGGATTGAGGGCCGAGTAGCAGCTCTTCAGACAGCCGCTGATGCCTTCTACAAGGCCAAGAATGAGTTTGCAGCCAAGGTTTGGTGCACGCTTTTCTAAGAGGCTCTTTGTCCTCTACTGGTCTCCCCTCCTGATCCCTCATCCCCATTTTGCCCCATTATCCGGGTACCCAGGCTACAGAGGATCAAATGCGGCTCCTACGGCTGCAGCGACGCCTAGAAGACGAGCTGGGGGGCCAGTTCCTAGACCTGTCTCTACATGACACTGTTACCACCCTCATTCTTGGTGGTCACAACAAGCGTGCAGAACAGCTGGCACGTGACTTCCGCATCCCTGACAAGAGGTAGGTGAGGTCCCAGGCTGTAGGTGGGTCCAGGACCACCTGCCTCTCCTGCAGCACCTCCAAGCCCAGCTTTCCTGCAGGCTGTGGTGGCTGAAGCTGACTGCCCTGGCAGATTTGGAAGACTGGGAAGAGCTAGAGAAGTTTTCCAAGAGCAAGAAATCACCCATTGGCTACCTGGTGAGGCAGGTTCCTCCCTCCAGCCCACTTCCAGTGAGGGTAGTCTTCGGGGAAGAGGGATAGGCAGGGGGACAGACAGGATGGCCCATTCATGCTCCTGTTCAGCTGTCCACCTGTTTAGTGAGTCCTTCCTGTGTACGCATTAGTGGGCAGGCACCATTCTTTGTGTTGGGTGCACTGGAGGATGGATCCAAGTTTGCCTGCAGATGTTAGGGGGAGGGAGAATGAGCTGCTTTCCTCAGGGAGGGCCACGGGGCACCATGCGCCAGAGGGAAAGTCCTGTTTGAGGAGGGTGGAGGGGGTCAGGGAGGGTGCATATGGGAGGCAGTGGAGATACTGAGGGCTGTTTTCTGTGGCGGATAGTTCAGAGGTGTGGAGGGCAGGTTTGAGAATGCCAATCATGAGAGAACACATAGGACCTGCAAGGGGAGGTGGCAGGAATGCCTGTTACAAGGAGTAGTGGTGGGTGGTAGAGCAGAAGCTTGGAAATAATTGGTCTCAAGGCTCTGACAGAGCTTTGGTTTAGGTGGTTTCTGCCCTAAGAATGTCAAGATCATAACTATCTGTGCATGGGGCCTGGGAGATTACATGTATTGACAGGCGTATACATATAAAATATATATGGACGATGTATCCATTGGGGCTCTGCTCATAAGAGAGAGGACAGGAGGCTCTGCCTTCTCCCTCCACCCACTCCCTCTCCTCCTAAGCCTTTTGTGGAGATCTGCATCAAACAACATAACAAATACGAAGCCAAGAAGTATGCTTCCCGTGTGAGTCCTGAGCAGAAGGTCAAGGCTTTGCTTCTTGTTGGGTGCGTTGACTGAGGGTCTGTGAGTGCTGGGTGGCTGAGCTGTGGGCTGGTGAGAGGCAGGGTTTGTGTCCTTGAGCAGCCCTGACATCACCTCCTCTCTTGTTCAAACCATAGTGATGTGGCTCAGGCTGCAGACGTGGCCATCGAACACCGGAACGAGGCTGAGCTGAGCCTCGTATTGTCCCACTGCACAGGAGCCACAGATGGGGCCACAGCTGATAAGATTCAACGGGCCAGGGCACAAGCCCAGAAGAAGTGATGAGTCTACCCTGCACATTTCAAGCAAGGGGTTCCTCCTAGCACCTGATTTTGACAGAGGGTCATAGTTCATCCAGCTGCTCCCCAGAGCAATGCTGAGGAGGCGGGGTGGGTGGTAGCAGGGCTGTCTGGTTGTAAATAAAGTTGGAACACTTTAGAGTACTTGTCTTACAGTCCAGCCTAAGCAAAGGCAAGCTCAAATCAGGACCCTTCAGACACTACGGCAAAACTCCATTTATTCCATTGTGTTGGGACCGGAGGTGGGGGCTTCTTCAGCCATACTTAGAAGAAACCTGTCCTCTCCATGGTTACCAAGGAAAGCTTTCTCTAGCTCTCAGCCCCTAGGAAGATTATGGGGAGAGATGGCATAAAACTTAAGCACCAGCTCACCAAAAACACAGTGTAAGGCATTATATGTGCATGTAAACACACAACCATACTAAACATTTTAACGTTTGTACTTCATTTATTCCTTATGACAGCCCTTTGAGGTAACATCACCCCACTTTACAGGAGATTGAGGACCAGGGAGGTTGATAATAGCAAATATATGGGCCGGGCACAGTGGCTCACGCCTGTAATCCCAGCACTTTGGGAAGCTGAGGCGGGCGGATCACCTGAGGTCAAGAGTTCAAAACCAGCCCGGCCAAGGTGGTGAAACCTCGTCTCTACCAAAAATGTAAAAATTAGCTGGGTGTGGTGGCGGCACCTGTAATCCCAGCTATTCGAGAGACTGAGGTAGGAGAATTGCTTGAACCTGGGAGGCGAAGGTTGCAGTGAGCTGAGATCAGGCCACTGCACTCTAGCCTGGGTGACAGAGTGAGATTCCATCTCAAAAAAAAAAAAAAAAAAAAGCAAATATGTGTGTGGCAAAACAGGGATTTGAAACCCTGGGCCAACTGCAAGCTGGAACTGGAATCAGGCCCTCTGGGAGAAGGGAGCCTGAGGGAAGGCCCCAGTTTGCACTGCAGTGGGGATTGAAGGACTGAGAGGTGTATGGCCTGTGAGACAAAGGGGTCAGGGGAGGGTGGGGTGGCCTTTGGAACTCTTGCCCACAGAACTGTGGTGAGCAATTCTAAGTTGTTTCTGGGCCAAATAGAAAAGGAGGATGGAAGAATTCAATTCTGCCAAAAAAAGCTATGAACACCAGACCCACAATCGTAGAAGCACCCGCTGGGCCCTCTGCTCTCCCAATCTAGCCTTCCATCTGCACTCCAGTGCACCTTGGCTTCATGCCCTGGACCCCCACCTAACACTGAAGGCATTACCTTTTCCTTTGTTGCCCCACTTTGTCTACAAAGAGGAAACCACAGCCAAAGGGAGCACAGGCCTCACTGGAGCTTCAGGCCTCTCCCTCTTTAACACTCCCATGGCTGACCATGCTTTTAGAAAGAGAGTGAGAGACTCAGGGCCTGAGAAGGCATTTCTTTTTTTCCTTTTCCTACCTGACTTTTTTTTTTTTTTTAGTTTTTTGGTGCCATGACTCGGATGTGAACCTCCTACCTGGCTTGTAAATGAAAGTTTGTGAAAGTCCTTCAAGGAGATATAAGTCAAATGGTAAAATAACTATTTCCTATGCTCACCATTTATCATGTGGGTCAAGAATTTGGTCAGGTTATAACAGGGATGGTTTGTGTCTGCTTCATAGTGTCTGAGGCATCAGCTAGAAGATTCAAAGGTTAACAGCTAGGGGCTGAAATCATCTGAAAGCTTGCTAACTCACATGCCTGGCGGGTGATGCTGGTTCTTAACTGGGACCTTAGGTGGGGTAGTCTACTAGAACACCTGCAACATGGTGGCTGGGTCCCAAGGGCAAGCATCTCAACAGGGAGCCAGGTAGAATCTGGACTGCCTTCCTGATCTAGGTTTGGAAGTTACATGGTGTCACATCTGCCACAGTGTCTGTCACAGCAGTAATACAGGCCCACCCCACCAATTTCAAAGGGGAAATAGATTCCACCTCTTTTGTTGTTGTTTTGATAGAGATGGGGTCTCAGGAGTCTCCTTATGTTGCCCAGGCTGATTTTAAACTCCTAAGCTCAAGGAATCCTCCTGCCTCAGCCTCTCAAAGTGCTGGGATTATAGCGTGAGCCACTGAACCTAGCCTGGACTCCACCTCCTGATAGGCAGTAGTAGCAAGCTTCTGGAAATACTGTGGCTAGTTTTTGTAATCACAATCTGGCACAGCCCATCAGCTTTCCCTTTTGGAATCAGACAAGAGGAAAGGAAATAATCCCTAATACTGGGCTCATCATTCTGGGCTTTTTTGTTCCCACTCTTGGCCCCACAATTTCTCACAGCCCTGGTAGCTCTTTGATGCCTTTAAAAAATGTTTTCCCAGCTTTTGGCATTCTCAAAAAAGATTGCTACCAAACAACCCAGTTTTCCTCTCTGTAAAGGGAGGCTTGGCCAGTGCTTTTAGAATGTACACAGTACAGGCTGGGTGAGGTGGCTCACGCCTGTAATCCTAGCACTCTGGGAGGCTGAGGCGGGTGGATCAAGAGGCCAGGAGTTCAAGACCAGCCTGGCCAAGATGCTGAAACCCCGACTCTATTACAAATACAAAAATTAGCCAGGTATGGTGGCAGGCACCTGTAATCCTAGCTACTCGGGAGGCTGAGGCAGGGAACTGCTTGAACCCGGGAGGCGGAGGTTGCAGTGAGCCAAGATTGTGCCACTGCACTCCAGCCTGGGTGACACAGCGAGACTGCATCTAAGAAAAAAAAAAAAATACAAAACCCACATCTCCAAAGTAACATACAGTATATTTACTCATAGGCTATGCAAACATTAAACACTATACACATGGAGTCTTAGAAATATGTGAGAAATAACTTTTGACAATGATGAAAAATTTATATAAACAGTGATTGCAACTTTATAAAAGGTGTGTGCGCATGTAGAGAAGCATTGGAATTGTTCATGGAGAAAGTTGTTGGAAATTAAAGGCAGTTTTTTATACTTTTATGTAAAGTTAATCAATGATTTGCCTCCCCCATTTTACTATAAAAACTTTCAAACACAGCCAAGTAGAAATAGTTTTACAGTGAACATTTGTATAACTACCACCTGGATTGTACCATTAGCATCTTACTATCACACATCTGTTCATCTATCTATTTTTCTATGTCAATCCATATTTTTCATATATTTCAAAGTAAGTTGCAGACGTCGTCAGTACACCTCCCCCTAAGTACTTCAGAATGCATTTAAATAACTAGAGGTCATACTTGATTTGTAATTATTTTTTTCCTTTTCAGGCAAAATCCACATACAATGCTATCCACAGATCTTAAATGTAATTTTCTGGATTTTGACAGACATATAAACCTATAAATTGTGACATTTAAAAACCAGAACCGGGACTTTCTTTTTTCAAATCCTTGCTTACTCAGTTAAAATTAGTGTGAGATGGTTTCTGCCCTGAGCAGTTTGTACAGCAGGCCTATGCTTACAGTGGTGGGTGGGGCCGTGTTTTGACCAATGTATGGGGCTAGGAATGGGGCTAGGACTAGGACTGTGTAGTTGGGGCAAAGAATCTGGAAACATTCTTCTGGTATCAGTGGTACCCAGTGCAGTGAGAATCAGGGCAAAGGCTGGGTGCAGTGGCTCACGCCTGTAATTCTAGCACTTTGGGAGGCTGAGGTGGGTGGATCACCTGGGGTCAGGAGTTTGAGACCAGCCTGGCCAACATGGTGAAACCCTGTCTCTAGTTAAAATACAAAAAAAATAGCCAGGCATGGCGGTGGGCACCTGTAATCCCTGCTACTTGGGAGGCTGAGGAAGGAGAATCGCTTGAACCCAGGAGGCAGAGGTTGCAGTGACCTAAGATGGTGCTGTTGCACTCCAGCCTGGGCAATTCACCTTCTTAGGGTAAGGGGGCTGTAAGTCCAGTCTCTTTTAGATACAGAGTTCCAATAAAAGACTCTTGGGGTTGAACAGTGGCCTGCAAAGGCACTTGGCACTCATTTACTTCACCTTTCTTACTGCCTTTTCATTTCAGCATTTAGGAAAGTTTCTTGTTCATTTGTTTATTGTCTGTGTTCCTATCCAGAAGGTAAGCTCCTGAGAGCAGAGGCCTCTTCTGTCCTCTTCTGTCTTATTCCCTGCTGTATCCAGCACATGGTCTGCACTCAATAAGTATTTGTTGCAAGAATGACTCATTGTTCCATTTACTCGAAGGGGAAAGGAGGCTCCAAGAGGTAAATGACTTGCCTAAAGAAACAGGAGTCCTAGGCCAGGCATGATGGCTCATACCTGTAATCCCAGCACTCTAGGAGGCTGTGGCGGGCCGATCACCTGAGGTCAAGAGTTCTAGACCAGCCTGGCCAACATGGTGAAACCCCATCTCAACTAAACATACAAAAAAAAAGAAAAATTAGCTGGGCGTGGTGGCAGCTGCCTGTAATCTCAGCTATTTGTGGGACTATGGCAGGAAAACCGCTTGAACCTGAGAGGCAGAGGCTGCAGTGAGTGGTCACCCATTGCACTCCAGCCTGAGCAACAATAGCAAAACTCCATCTCAGGAAAAAAAAAAAACAAAACAGAAACAGGCATCCTTTACCCCCATCCTCCAGCTCCTCCAGCTCTCCTGGTCCACTCCTTTGCTCATAAACCCTGTAACTGTTGGGGCACTTGTGGGGTGGCTGAGAAATGGCTACCCGTAGGTATATACTCCTGTGGGCTGGGACTAATGCAGGAGTAGGAGTAGGAGGGCTCTGGTACAGGAAACTGCCTCCCCTCCCTTCCTCAGTTCTCTTCTAAGATAACCCTTTACTCTGTGAAGATGATGATGGGCGAGGGCACTCAGGACACTCTGGGAGCCAAGTAGGATGGGGGCTGGGCAGGTATCTACAGGCAGGCAGCTGAGAAGGGGCCTCTGCCTTCTTCCAATGGAAACAGCATCTGTGTGGTTGCTGAGCAGAACCCTCCTTCCCAAGGTATCCAAGGTCTGTAGTTCTCCTTGGTCTGTAGTTCTGTCACCCCCGTGCACACACCACAAATGCTCTGGCCATCGTGCAGCTGTCTCATGGGGAGAGAGAACTTTCGTTTCCTGAGAATAGGTAACTTGCCAAGCTGAACATGCCTAATTCTCAGTACAGCCCTGGGAGGTTCCAGGAAGAGTTGCAGAGGGAGGATCAGGTCACCCAGCACATGGTGGAGCTGGAAACCCGGGCTCTGTGACTACCACACCCAACAACAATTTTCCCAAGTGCGGTCATATCCAAAAGGGGTCCTTCAGATAGTCTTAAAGATTAACAATTACTGTAATAGCTATTTATTTTAATTATATTAAAAATCAAAGTAGCATGTCACCCCCTTTTAGGGTAATACAAATAAACTAAAAATAATAAAAAAGAAACATATTAAGAAATAATAGTGTAAGTTAGATATAAGGAAAAAGTAAGCTGGTGAGTTTGGTTCTAGAGCACAGGGCTGTCATCCTAGCTACTCGGGTACCTCCTGCACTTGCAGTCATTACTTGTTAGGGATTTTCACACTTTGACTTCTAGCTTTTCACTTTTCCATTCTGTCGGGGGATAGATTGAGTTTGGACTTCCGGGGAAATGTGAATGTTCCGCGTGGGGAAGGATCCACCCTCACTGGGGTCTGACCGTTAGGAGACTAGGCGTGTGGACTCCGGGCCTTTGGGCTGGAGTGTCTATGGGTCAGAGGTGCCTTGGGTTCGGCCATTTCACCCTCACCTTTGGGCCCGCCCTGCTGAAAGGGAGAGACAGTCATAACTCACACTCAAGGAGACACTTCCCTGCCGGGGAGGGGACGGCCTGAGGCCCACCCCACCTATATTCCCAGGCCATGGCTCGGGTTAGCATGGACTAACTTACTCCACGATACGGAGTAGGGGCAGAGTCCTAAACTGGCGCCCCAGCAGCAGGCAGTGGTGGGCATCGGGGATGGTGAGAGGACTGGAGATGGCAGGGGTTGCTGATGTGAGCCCCTTTTGCGAAGAAATGTTCCCTTCCACGAAGAGTTGCCGCCGGTTACAAACCCTTCCCCTGGGGTGTCCCGAACGTGGGACTCTTCCTGGCCTGGGATGGGTGAGGGGGGACTCGGGGGCTGCCCGGTCTGGAGGAGAGACACCGCCACCTACCCCAGGTCTGGGATAAAGCGTCCTCTACCCGCAGGCTCGGTTTACGTGCTGCTGTGCAATCTGTCTCTTGCCTGCAGATGCTCAGCGGCTCGCCCTGCGCGTCCAGGGGACCCTACAGGGGATCACAACCCGGCGAAATGTCGCTTTCGCCACCTATCACGACTGCGTAATCGGCTTTCAGCCGCAGACGCTCACACCCTGCAGAACCCGCGGGGATCCACATAGGAACCTGCTGCCACCGGATGCACTGAACGATCGCTTCGGGGGTGCCACGCGCCAGACGCGGTGCCCGGAGCGCCGGGAAGAGGGTCCGCGCCCCAACCCTGACCGGGAGAGGGCGCACTCTGGCTGCTATCTGCGTTTTGAGCCTCCCCTCCCCCGCCAGGCCAATCGCAAAAGGCACCCCCACCGCAGAGCACCACGTGTTGTGCTTCTACTCGGCGAGGCTGGCTCCAGCCTGCGCATCTGGAAAGTGGGGCAGATTACCCTGGAGCTCGGGTGGGGACGGCGTGGGCCGACTTGATATAAGACGGCACCCAGGGAGCCAGACCCGTTCTAGGGACTTGGCAAGTTCCTCTCCCTCCCCAGTGAGATCCGTTGTCCTTTAAATACCTGCAGCAATTAGGGGAGGAAAAAAAGACCCACAGTATTACGTTTGGAGAGGGTTAGGAAGATGGCTCTCCAGTTCCAGGCCGCCCTGGTGGCTGGTCATTGGTGTAGTTTGTGCTTGGCCTTAGTTTCCTCATCTGTAAACTGGGAAGAAGGCCCAAGTCCTGGGGCCTGTGGCTGTAGAGTGGCGGAAGGCACTGGTGCACCCGCGGCCGATCCTTCCAGGGTCCAGCTTCCTGAAGGACTGGGCGGCCCCGGGCCGAACCCCTCCCGAACTAACCGCAGACCGTGCGACCAGGTTCGGCACCCCTGACCAGCTAGTGAGCTCCAGGCGGCGAGCAAGGGCGGGGTCCCCGCGGGCCGGCCCGTTCGCTGTCGGCCAACCAGCGCCTGTCTCTGAACAGCCAATGATCACACGCCTTACACCCAGGGCCGGTCGGGAGCGAGGCTTCGGCGAGTGCAGCGCTGACAGAGACGCGCGCGCGCGCGATCGCCCTCGGACCCGGGCCGCTGCCGCCATCACTGCTGTCTGCCCAATCGCCCCTCAGACGCTTCCCCTCGCCATGGAGGCGAGGCCGCCGCCGCCGCCGCCGCGGGGCTCGGAGCCGCGAGCCGGGCGGCGGCCCTGAGGGCGAGTGGCGGGCCGAAACGCCACCGCGGAGCCGAGGCGGAGCCGCTGTCCTCGTCCCCAGCGGTCCCGCCCAACGCCAGACTCTGTAAGTACTCGCGGCCGCCGCGCCCGGGTGGGCTCCGGAAGGGGAGGTGGCTCCTGGCTGCTGTGGGAGGGGTCCCGGGCCGGAGCCCGGAGCTCTCTTTTCCGGGTAGAAGCCTGCGGGCTCCTGCGGTTGGGTTGTGCATCCTTGCGGGGTCCGTCGCGGGGAGGGGTCCCCGGAAACGTGCTGGGCTGGGCGCCGACCCCTCGCGACTGCCCGGAAACTTTGCGTGCGTCCTCCTGGGACCAGGCCAGGGCGCTGCCAGAGTTCATTCTCAGAGAAAAAACTTAGAACGGCGAGAACAGAATTTGCTCAGGTCCATTAAATGGGAGGAAAGAGGAAAACTCATGGCATGAGAAAATTTGCTCTTGCAGTGGCCAACTTTTCTTTCCCCTCAAGTCCACCTCTCCCGACCCCCCGGCGCATCTCCCAGCCCCTCTTCTTGCCGCCCTTTCCCAACTGTTGAGGCGGTTTAAGAAGGGAAATAGGGGCTGAGAGCTGCCCAGAATTCAGAATAGACCAATTGAGAACGCAGGTCCCCTCCCTTTTTACTTGCGGTAAATTAATAATTTTTTTTTTTAAGAATTTGTTCCTAATTATATCTTCTGAAGATTAAATTATATCTCCTGTCTTGAGGGTTTTGTTTTTATTTTGAGATCACTGATGATATTTGTAAGACAGGAAAAGAGGAATGTGCAAATCCACCCTCTGCAGGGTGAACGCCATCAGAAGCCTTTGCCCAGGAGAGGAATTCCGACTCTTGAACCAGTCATATCACCCCGGAGATGGCTTCGTTTGTCACCTGCTAGCTGTGCTGGCAGCCGGAGGAACAGAAGATGGTGGGCGAGAGGAGGACTGACTAAGAAAGGGCGAACATCTTCCTGTCTGGCCACTCCTTTCAAAAAAACAGATCTGATGCTGT